CCGTTCCAACCCTGATATTCTATGATTCTACTGTGTGGTAACTGTTGGCAAATACTAATTTCTTTTAATGGTGACTACTCTATATGAATACCAACAAACCAATCAGGGTAGTGTATGTATATAATACTATCTTTCCTGCCGCATACATCATAATTATGGATGTTAGAAAGCACCCATCATCAATCTTTGTTACTGCAGAATGTGGTTATTTGCTGCTATTGGTCAAATGAAGAGATGTACAAAGATTCTGACATAATGCAACTTGATTTTCATGGAGGTATTTTTGTATAGGAAGTACTGAGAATGGCTGGACTGTAAGCCACTCGACACTGTCCATTCCAGAGTGTTTTTATTAATGATTATGTAAGTAACAACACAAGGCACATGGCGACACTAGAAGCCCATACCTTATGCTTTCAGCCATCCAAGTAATATGAATATCTAGCATAATCACATAATTTTTTCACCCACCAAAAAATGGACTGCTTTTCTTCCTTCTCTGAAGCAGTGGATAATTTAAAATGACCTATCCCGCATCCAGCAAGCTGACATCCTTGGCAGTAGCAGTAGTTAAAAGTAGGAGTAGTTAAAAGTTACTGGCAGAAGTCCCGATTCAGCAAACCATTCCTTTTCAGCAAAACAGTTAAGCATGTGCTTAAGTCCCATTGACTTCAGTGGGGTTTCACGTGTTGCCTGATTTTAGGCGGTTAGTATTATTATTTTAGATAATACGGGCCAATTAATCTGATCAGAACCTAATAAGGTTCTTGTCCCAGAATCAGGCTACACAGAGTTTGCAAGGACACTCACACTGAGACAAATGTAGCCTTAAACTCTTTTATTGAGAAAAATGGATTAGTAATCAAATGGTAAAAGAATCAGAGTTACAAAGGCAATAATATTGTTCTAGAGATACATGTGATATTACGTACTATAAAGCTTTTGATTAATATACTCACGCCCTTCCTTGATAACCTGGTAGTAAGAGACAAAGGACCAGCCTCGCCTCTGGCATGCCAAAAGAGTTCAGACCCAGGTTCCTCAATTCTTGAATGGGAGGTGCAAAGCTTAGGAGGAGCTGCGAGCTATAGAAGACTAAAGAAGTTAACTTAGAGTTTTACATAACTAACTGCCTTAGAACTTACAATTGAGAACTAATAGACAAAAGATAATAAACAAAAAACTAAAAACAAAGAAACCTTTAAGTTTAGAAGCTGAGAAGCTTCCTTGGCACAGTGGATCTTATAGAGCTTGAGCACCTGAGGCTTCCTTCTATGTCTGAACTTAGTTTCCTCACCCACAAAATGTTGGGGTACACTTACTCCATAGGCTGGTGTATTTGTATGTATTGATAGCATATACATACATATTAATGACATTAGCTCATTCTCACATCTGTTATTTCTGTCTTAACCAGTTATTTCAGTTCTTTCCAAATTGTGGTGTACCTCTTAAGTACAAAGACGGTATGAACTTAGGTAGCTCTCCTATACCACCTAGCTTCAGTGCATCTTTTATCTATCTTTGTTACAGTTTACAACCATATATAGACCTTGTGCTTTAGCTCATCACCACTATCTAAGTGAAAGGTCCCAAACATACATACCCTAACTTAGCCTTAGCTCAACATACAGGATATGGCCTATAGGTCCCTTGCATTACAGTTAATACACACTCCAATATAAACCTATTATAATAAAACCAATAGTCAAACCCATAAGAAAAGATACACAGCCAAGCAAGCAGGCTAGTCCTATAGGATACACACCATATGCTTAACAGTTTTGCTGAATTGCAGAATGCTGAAAGTTCCATTTTCTCAGCAGTATATAGCAATAGCCAACAAACTCCAAAAGACTGTACAGAGTTATCTGCAAAAAGTTGTAAATGGAACTATTTGTAGGGCAAACTTTAGTAAGCATGCCCCTCACCCTGAAGCATTTGTTATTCCCAGAGCCCATATAGATCTGAGGAGGGGTATATAGGCTAATGACAAGTCCCAACTTGTGCATTTGTATGGGATCGTCTCTGTCTGATGTATCCCTTTAGAATCTGTATTTATTAAACTGCAGGCTGAAATCAAGAATGCTGTTAAACTGTCTCTTCTAGATATTGGGTTGTTCAATGGCTATGCACATTTTTGTCAACCAGGGTTGCAGTGATTTTCTCAGGGATTTTTGTTCTCGTTGCCATGAAGAAGTAGCATGTCCATAGCCTTAGTTTTGAAATATTTCTGATCCAACTCAAGATTGGCAGTAATAGCAAAGTATATCATAACAATTTTAGTAATCCAGTGCCTCAAAAAGAGAAATTAATAGCATTTTGGTTTCATTTTTGAACTTTACAAGTATGTCAGTGGTGTAACTAACACATCCATAGCCTATCAAAAAGACACAGGTTTATTTACAACACCTTTAAAGACTATTTTACAGTAATATTGCACAGAAAAAAAATCTTGTAACTCCTTCATCAGACTTTTCTTGGAAAAAAGCCCTAATTG